GATAAAGATGTTCACTGATGGTGGATAGATGTGATGGCTGGAGGAGGCTCAGGGTGGGGGTTTGGTCTCCAAGCCAAAATGGTCATCCATCTGATTCAGAACCTTGAAGATGATGTCTTCAGATGAGAGACACAGGTGGGAGGGAGGGGGTTGAGAGCGCTGACTTGGACAGTGTTGTCAGGATGGCCGTGTAAATAGGGCTTGTGGGTAATTGCAGGCGTGGTTGAGATGAGCTGTGTTTGGCTGCAGAGGAGGTTGAGGTGTGGTTCAGCTCCTGAATCTCAGTTCATCATATTAACTCCATTTAAATGTAGTAGTATCAGTATGATTCCCATATTATAGCTTTAAGAATCTGCCGATACCCGATAAGAACTGATACCAGTGCCAGAGACTGAAAACGACACATAAATAAAAGTTCAAACATTCTGAAACTTTCTGGATGGACTACGACCAGTAACTGATCTTATTACATCAGTGTATATGTCCAACCAGGATGTCGACTGAATCGTTATGTAAAAGCTGATATCTGATCTAGAATATGTTTCAGTATTGGCGCCAGCGTGCGATACCAGTATCAGATCAGTGCATCTCTTAATTGTGAGTGAACCTGCGCCTCCACAAACCTGACATTTGGCTTGGAGGAAGGCCTGCTCCTGCTGGTTCAATGGAAATGTTGTTCCTATAATGTTCCACAGTATGGCATAAAACTCTCTCTCTCCATGGAGAATGTTCTGAAGTAACTTCCATCCCTTGATTCTAAGCTGTGGAGTTTTTTAGGAACCTGAGTACAGCTCAAATATTAATATACAACAAAAATATAAGAGAAAGTACTACATGAGCTTAGAAACTGTCCAGATGATAAATATTGAGAACCCAAAATGCATTGTTCATCTCCTGTATTAAACAATAAGCTTTGCTGTACATTTTAGAAATACAATTCTAATGTAATGTTCACTTAGCAGAGTAACCACCTCACTTCCACTCAGAGACAGCACTCTGATAACCACACCATCCCAACAGCAGCAAACAAATGCTCCTTAATGCGCCTGATGCCCTCCCTAAACAGGCCTACTCCACTCTATTATCCCCCTCACCCCAGGGACAGGCGTTCAAAGAGCCAATGTTCCAGCGCGTTAGAGCGGCTGCCGTCATAATGCACTCGCGACACATATTTCAACCTGTGAATTTAAATTTCAATAAATAATGTCAGAGCAAGGACACGCTCGGGTCCCTGTGTGCTCTAATCCGCTCCAGACTGCTCCATATTGTTACATGGTTATCTCACCGCTCCCCTGGCACATGATGGATGGCCAAACGCTCCATAAACATACCCACAGACCCACTCCTCTGCCTGGGTACTGCACACGGACGTGGAGTGGGCGATGCAAATTCATCCTTTTTTGTGTGTGTGTGTGATATTTTATTTTTCATAATGTACCAGGAGTGAAATGTGTTAAATTTGGTGTATTTCACTTTATTGTTTGCTGATTATGACTGTAATGGCTGTTTTAATTGTGATGAACCACATACGGCAAATGTTTCAGTTTCAGTTTATTTCAGAACAATACTACACTTAAGATTATGGTGGCATTCATTTTTATTTCAATTTGTGCAGTGTACATATCACTGTCACATATCACTGCATTATTTACCTTTAAAAAACAACGAGCAACAAAGTCTAATTTTGTTTTGCCATATATATATATATATATATATATATATATATATATATATATATATATATAGTCCATGTTGTTTTGAGACCATGGGGGGCCACCAGAGACTAAAAACCTCCATTAATTGGTGAATATATAATATAGATGATATAAATGACATAAACTTTGATATTACATTTTTAAAGAGACGACTTTACTCCAGGACTTGTAAACTTAAAAAAAAACACTACGCAGAGTGTACACTACAATATTTACTAAACAACAATCTTTTAAGCCACAGCAGAGCTGTTTATTTTGATTATGATGCCAGTAAAAAGACCTGAGAGCAGAATATAATAAAACATAATATAATAAATATAATGCAAACAAAGCCCATCATTTAGCTGTGCTCTATTTCTAGTGGCTCTAACTGCTTGTTCAGCTTCTACTCCACGTCTCATGTCTCTGTCATTTTTCTTGTTTTTAGCATCTGCAGAGCTGAGTGTTTAAGCTGCTCATGGAAATTCCATTATTTATTCGACAACAATGGCGTTAGCTGTAGTCTTTAGCCGCACTCCTCTGCTCTTCCTCACATCTGACACAAAAACCAGCAGCAGATGATTTCAGTGATCTGTCACTTTTACACCTATGTTTCAATTTACACTACTATATGATCAAGCCGCAACAAAAATGTGTCATTAGTTTCTGTTTTTGTTGCTCTCAGTTGCCCCTCCCTTTTGCTCTTTGCACTAAGTCACTCCACCTTCAGAGCACTATCACAACACAATCAGTGTGCATCCAGCTAATGAAACTACTGCACATCACATCAGGTTTGTCAAGTTGCTGTGTACAGTTTAGTATCATGTTTTGTATATTTATGAAGAATACCGTATTTTCCGGGCTATTAGTCACTCTGGATTATGAAACACACTGTTATTAAATGGTCTATTTACAAACTTTTTTCACAAATAAACTGAACCAAACTTTAAAGGAAACCCAACAGTGTGATGGGTGAGTGGTTTTGTTTGTTTGTTCGTTCACGGTGACTCTGGGCTTTGTTCAGTTGTGGCGTGTAGGGAGGGTGTGTCTGGGACCAATGGATTGTCGGCGTGTTCACAGTGACTCAGTTGTTCAGTTGTGTCTAGAAGTGGCACATTGCGTTCACTTTTTTGGTTCGTTCCTCCATTCCGTTCCTCGTCTGTGTGGAGTGATGAGTGTGTCTGTGGGTGTGTTTGGCTGTGCAGTCTCTGTCTGCTCCGTGTGTGTTTGTGTGTTCTGTGGGTGGTGCGGCTTTGTAGTTTACTGAAGTTGTGCTGGGACACCTGAGTGGATTCGTGTATAGGGCGCTCTGGATTGCGGAGCCAGTCGTTTTTTGATGGGGTTGAAGGCTTAAGAGCGTGATCTATAGCCCAGAAAAATACGGTAGTTGTGTGGGAGCATGGGTGATGTAGGCTTGTGGGCGGAGCCTTGTACAGAACCTTACAGCTAACTATAAGGGGGGTTGGATAGGGCCTGGGAGAGTTCAGTAAATTACTCAAACATGCATGGATGACATCTAAAACCTCTTCAGACATGTTTCTGATGAGAGGAACAATGTTATAGAAAACTCACAAAAATCAGTTTATGCTATATATATATATATATATATATATATATATATATATATATATATATATATATATATATATATATATATATATATATATATATAAATTTTGTTATTTGTAATCTGTAATTTTAATTACAGACAATAGACTCCATTTACATTTCCAAAAGCACCGTTGTGATATGATCAGTTGTTCTGTGGAGCTCCAGTGCAAAGGCAGGGCTCACACAGGTTGGAGTTCTTGGCAGGGCTCAGGTCACTGGGGGTTTTCAGGTAGTGCGTAGGTGGTCTCCTGTGTTGACTTTGGACGTCTCCTCTGAAAGCGATCTGATGGAGAATGTTATGGGAATATGGCGGGAAGACATTCTGGATCATTTTCTGGTTCCTCTCAGATAAACAGAAGAGAACGAAGAGAAATGAAAACCAGGCAGGATGTCATTGTCCTGTGAATGATTGAATGAGATTGTAGATTGTCATTACTCGAGAGGTTTTGAGGCAGATCTGGGCCGACTGGAATGAACACAGACATGTCCAAGGTTTAAATGAATTCGTTTTATTTAGCTTTAGGCATAACAAATACACAGTGAAGATGTGGAACACTGGTTGTGGTGGTTCAAATTGCAGTTTTATGTTCCTGGCTGTGAATAAAAATGTGTGGAAAAAATGTTCACTGTCATGTGACAACTAGAGCGGAGCACCAAGAGGGTGCAGACATTACTGAAGATGAATGAACATAAGTGACTTTTGTATAGTGAATGTTACAAAAACACATCAAACTGTTGCATTGGTCAGTGTTTGCAGGCCATTTTATTGTTCATGCTCATGATAAGTGCAGCACAGCTCACCCCGTTTCCTGAGCTGTCCTCTGCAATTACCTGTGCACACTTTACCAGTGCACACTTCACTCTGGTACTATGTTTCCTGCCGTCACAGCTGAACCACACTCAAACCCTTACAGTCCATGTAGACTGAGTCCTGGTCCAGTGCACGTCCTCGACCATCACTGTGTTTTGTGATGTCAAATGTGGAGGACAGCTCTGTTTACTTGAATCACATTTTCTAAATGTGTTAGACATTTTTTTTTACTGGAATTACACTCCCAGTCAAAAGTTGTTTTTCACTCAATGTTTTTGTTGTTGTTTTCACTGTTTACATTGTAGATTTTTCACTGAAGGCATCAAAATAATCAATGAACATAGGTTAGGAGACAAAAAGTGTCTTATATAATGGCCAAACTCATTGAGAGAAGGTCAGGGGTTTACAACACTGTCAACAATGTAAAGTGTCGCTATTCTGAGGAATCTGAATCTAAAATATAAAACACATGCATAAATCAAACTTATATTATTTATTTATTTTGCTGCTTGACTGTATATGGGGTTTTAACAGCATTTTCTAACGTCCCTAGTCCTTTTTGTGACAACTTTAGTACAAACTGCAGCTACTGTCACTGCAATTTCAAGGTACTATGTGACATCACACATGACTCTTCTGATTATAGCCATGTGTTTCTGATTACAACAGCTGACTCACAGTGTAGAAAGTGTTTGGCTGGTTCTGACTGTGCAGATAGTTCATTTAAGTCCACTTTTAGCCCCTCCACCTGTTGGCTCCACACCACAGCTCTAGGGTTTAAATGCCCCCTCAGCACTTGACTCGGACCCCCCTCTCTTACACCCAGTACTCTCAGTGCAGCAGAGGGATATCCACAAACCACTTCCTCTCGTCTTTCCTTTCAGACAGGAAGTGGTTCCGCGGCCTGCTTCCTGTCCGGTCCCTCTGAGCTGCCTGGCCTCTGATTGCCTTCTTCATGTGAGACATTCCCAGGCTCCTGTAACCTCTGGTCCCAGGTGAGCGGGTGGGTGAGCGTGTGGGCGAGCGTCCTGGTTTGGGGTGAGCTGGGTGCAGTGTGTCCCTCTCAGGGGTGGGAGGGGAGGGCCGGGCATTAGCAGAGCTGGAAAACATGCTCTGTTTAGGATGTGCTCGGTCAGACTGTGGGAAAGAGTGTTTTCCCTCAGGGCTCTCCCAAAAAAGCTCTCACATAGTTTTACACTGGTGCAGATCAAATAAACAGTGTAACAGCAAAGAAGGTCCTGGGTGAGTGAAGCCCGTCACTCAAATGTTTGGTAACAAGGTCTTTTCTTGTACTGAGGAGGATTTGAAGATAATGTGATTCAGAGATGATCTGTAGGATGTGGGAGAGAGTAAAACTGTAACCTTCAAATACACGTGCTGCTCTCTTTTGTTGTTGCAGGAAAGACTGTCCTTATATAAACACTCAAGCCATAATCCTGTCCAACATGAAAGAACATCAGACTTGTATTGTATTGTTATTTTTAGCCTGTGACATGACAGAAAATAAGAGTGTGGCTCGCAGCCCAGCTCTTTATATGGCGGCGTGCCATGGGAATCCCCTGTCACTTTTAGCCTTTATGATGGACAAACAATGAGACGGCATCACACTGTGTATGACTGACAGCTCTGAGCTCTGACACTGAGGCGAGTCTCACACAGACCAGTTTCACTGTCAGCCCCTCTGCTCCTCCCCTGACCCTCCTCTCTGTGTGGATGTGGAGGTAACACGTGCTCCTGCTGAACGTCATGTGTTTCCCCCACAGCGCCTCACTTCCTGTGGGACAGCTGATCACAGCTCCTGCTCTGACTCAGCCAAGGCCTCCCTCTCACGGTGAGTGGCCTGTATGAGGCTGTAGCGTGGTGGATATGACCCAGCACAGAGCAGGCCAGGCGCACCTATATTTAGCTCAGCGATGCTCATGCTAATGGGCCTCACAGGCCTAATCATTCCCAGGCTGTGCAGCCCCGTCCTGACAGGAGAGGAGGCCACACTCCCACTAACCCATGGAGTGAATGTTAAAGAGAGGTTAGCTTCAGCGTGCCTGTCAGGGAGCACACACATTAGCACTATGTGATTCATACTTCTTCAGTTCCAGGTCCAGTGGTGAGGCTGGCTTTGGCTCTCTGTTGTGAGGCACAGAGTTCACCTCTGCTGGTGTTGCTTTTTCTCTGTCTGTTCAAATGAGAACTCCTCCAGTAACAGTTGGTCTGGTCGTTAAGGTTGTGAGTGTGTCACAAAGAGGTGTGTAAGTTCAGTGAAGGTGCACAGGGTTTGTTGGACCTGCTGGTTCCAGGGCTCTATATGATGTTTACTATTGTTAGATTAGACCACAAGTGCCTGCAGTTCCATTATATAGTCCTGACTTTCTGGTCTCTGTGAGGATTGGGGCGCAGATGGAAAATCTCAGGCTCAAAGCTCTAAATGGTCCATGCCTGGTGGTTTGTGGCTTTTTAAGAGGGGAAAAACTCCCTCAAACAGCCTTCACGGTGTGGGCCCGGCCAGAACCACACCTGGCTCAGGTTGAGAATGACTCTAGCCCTGGTGTTTACATCACAGAGGACTGAAGGATAAATCTGGTCACAACCCAGAGCCTTCAAAACCACCACAGCGGTGAGTCCTCTGTTTTGTAGGGTTACCATGTTGTAAAATGTGAGGCCTCCTGTTGTCATGCACTATATGAAGAGTGACCTGAACCACAGGACTCCTTTACTGCTGCCTCTTCCAGCACAGTCAGTACTTGGACATTTACATACACACCAGGCTAAAGGGATAACTGGCCCAGAACAATTTAAACAGATTTTTCTATATGCTGTAAACCCTGGAACTACCACTGAGGTGTTGTGAATCCCAATAACACATCTGGAGAAGCCGATACCTGCTGCATATAAGAGCGCAGTCTGATTTAGTTTAGGCGCAGACTAGGAGAGGCATTCAACTGCATGAGGTAGGAAGCAGCCAGCAGAATATTAGACATGTGTTTGGATGCATTGTCATTTGTTTTAAATGAGCAGAGATGACAGTCTGTCCCCTCCACTGAGCACATGTTGCTTTGTTTTGGTTCACTATGTTAAAGTGAAAACTACCAGAGCTTCACTGCATACAGTCTGTGCTGTGGAGAGCAGATAAGCCCGTCACGATAACACATTTTGAAGCACAGTATATACTGCTACACAGATATACTGCGATAAACGATAATACTGAAACTACTTCATACTGAAACCACTGACACAATAACAGTAATACAAGATAATCCCAGAAAACCAATATCATTAAAACGTCTTAAGTTTTTAAAAGTTTAAAAATGTCTATATATACATATATATGTATGTACATGTATATATATGTGTGTGTATGTATGTATATATGTATGTATATATATATATATATGTGATATAGGTATAGTATATGTATGTTATATGTATTATATACATACATATATAATCCATTTCATTATTTAGGATCATCATCATTGCTATTATGTTATTTATTGTATTATTATTTATTTAGTTATTTTTCTTTTTTTAATAAAAAAAAAATCAACTTTCTACATTTATATTGATTTTATGTGTGGGTGAAAAAAGAAACAGGGCATCTATCCTGTGACTTATGTGGACACCAAAAAAAAGCACTGAATAAATTGCAAAAAAAAAAAAAAGTCTAAGTTTTAGTGAATAAACAACAGAATGAAGCGCTAATTATCCCCAGAGTTACCTATAACTTTTACCCCTACACCTCAGATCTTTTCATATTACAACAAAAATGCCTCAAGTCTTTCCACCTTTACAAAAAAGTTGTGCACACGATAAATCTTGAGCCCCAAAACATATCGTGCCAGCTTTCATACACTGAACGATAAGTCGATATAGTCATTTTTGTGACAGACCTAAACGTAAAAAATTTCTGACAATCAAATGCTCAGCTTGAACTTTTGCTTATCTATCTCTGCCAAAAGTGTGGTTAAATGTATGACAGTTGTTTTATTAGTAGTTGTAAAGTTTTAGAGATAATGCTAAATTACTATACGCTCCTGAACGTCTCATAGCCCCCATTTCCACCTATTGAGTACTTTGACCTGCTGTAGACTGCTTTTGGGACAAAGACCATTAGAATGTAGTAGTTTAGTGCACTCAGAGGCCCTGGCTGATCACACTGCAGCCCCTCCCCCTCAGCTTTAGCCCCTTTCCCCCCCACAGTGCTGTGTGCTGGGACAGTGTGCTGCCCTCTCCACCTCCTCCGTGTGGGGCGCTTCCTCACTGCTTCCTGTCCCACGGCTGGCCCAGTCACACAGCGGGCAGACCCTGTGCAGGTCAGAGGTCAGGGGTGGGTCTGTGTCACCCCGCTGGACATGAGCAGGGACAAACTCATGTGTCAGATCTGTGGAAATGAAAAGCAGGCAGTCAGGGAGTGGACTGAAGGTGACATAACGGGGAGGAACCGCAAAGAGTGATTACATGTAACTGAGTATTACCCACCTCCAGACACTTGCCACATCAAAAACATGGTCTCAGTTACATTTACTTGAGTAACTCTTTAGAAATTGTACTTTTCAGAGTACCTTCTCTACTAAATTGTGGCTCAGCTTTATATTGACAATCTGAAATGATTTGAACATTTGTGTTTCTTGCAGCTCCTTCAGATCTGATTTAGTTTGTCTCATTTTTGTGTCTGTCCTTTAAAAATACCAGATTTTGTGACTTACTTAATGTTTTGTCCTTATAATTACTGTAATCTCAAATTCAGATGTTACAGTTACTCTTTAAGTTACTCTTACTTGAGGAGCAGTTTTCCCAAATACTTTTTCACTCTTAGTCCAATGAGGTTCACTTGGTCTTCTGATCATTTATGTTATTAGGTTGTTTTTTCAGACCAAGTGTTTGTTTTCACACATGACCGTTAGATTTTTTCCCTCTTACTTAAGTCATTTCTACTCACCACAACTCTGTACTTAGATAACACTTGAGTAATATTATTTTGAAGTCCTGTTACACTTATTTGTGTACAGTCTTGGGCAACCCCCCTCTGCTTGTGTCTAGTATTCACTTCACTATGTGCACATATGTAGCTCATAAGAAGATCACACTTGTTCCTCTTAAAGATGAGGACATTTAGCCTGATTCTTGGTCTAATGACATGACGGCTGATGTAGCTGGGCTAAAGCAGCTTATGTGGGCTGTGAGGGGCTGTGAGGGGCTGTGAGGGGCTGTGAGGGGCTGTGAGGGGCTGTGAGCGCTGGAGCCAGAGCTGGAGCCAGAGGAGGATAAGTGAACTGTGTTTGTCAGCTTTTTAAACCTTGAAATTGATTCTTGTTGTGTGCTCTTTATTCTAATGACAGGCTAATCCCCCTCTCCTGGTATAAATAGTGCGTGTTATTCCCTGCTCCTGTGTGCGGCTCTCATCAGGAGTCTGCGCTCGCTCCAATCTATTTACCACTAAGTCCCCCAAAAGGTTACCTGTGGCAACTGCAGCCCGCACCCTCCTCTGCATCGGCCTCTCTGCCAATTCTGCCTGAGCTAATTAAATAAATGGCTTTGTGGGGAGAGTCAGCTGAATGAAATGTCAAAATATTGATGGTGAATGGTTCCATGATTCCAGGGCATTTGTCACAGACTGCAGGAGCTGAGAGCGCTGCTGGCCTCAGGGCTCCTTTAATGATATTAGTAGAGATCTGCTTATTTATGAAGCTCTAAGTTATTCATGGCCAATGCTGGCTATCCATCAGCGCGAGCAGCCTGTTTACTGTACTCTGCTGCGGCTAAGCACTGAATTAACCAATAAATCCTTTGTTCCTTCACGGTTTAAATGGCTAATATAGACATGTAAATCATATGCAGCTGGAGCCAGACTGTTCACACTGCACTGTTCATTTCCTCATGTCTCCTGTGCGCTCTGCTCTTTACACCACTGCGGCCCGCTGTGATTTGTGGGCCCATCTCATGGCTGTAACATGCAAGTCCTCTGAAATGGAACTGCTCCAATCAATGCACTGTGTACCAG